ATTGAAAATTAGCCATTTAAGTCCTACTAGAAAACATCAATGAGAATAAAACCTACATTATACTAAAAACTGCTTAATTTTACACTGATATAATGAATTTAATTAAAATGGTTGGAGTCATTTTTGACAAAATTGTAAAAATGTGTTAAATCGATGATATTAAGTGCCACTGCCAGTTAGCAAAATAGGCTATCCAATAAACATTACTCCAACATATTTGTATGACTATTGACTGCACCTCTGAATAACTTCTTCTTAAACAAATTCCTTGTTTTGAAGTGACTGAACACTAATATATTCAGTGAATAAAGGTGCACGTACATATTTGTTTTAATCTTTTATTGTATAGTTTTCCCCAACACCTGCCTGTAGCAATAGGTTCAGATTACTGAGATTGCACTGAACCAGATACTGGCAATACGAATACTTACAAGTAGACTTGTTTTCATCAGTCATTTCTTCTTTTCTGGAAACATGAAAATTTTTTCTATACCTGTAAAAAAAGTTTTCTTATCCTTAAAATATTACAATTTTTCAAGGATAGAATACAATTAGTTTAAATTTAACGAAAGATTTCTGTGATTTTAACAGGCATGCAATAATAAAGTATTCCAGATATTTTTTTTTTCAAGAGCCATAAGGCACTATAGCTTCATTATACCAATATTGTTATAGCTGTTATAAATTACCAATCACATCTCATAAATAAACTTTTCCCTATAGCTTATTTTTATTATCACTTAATGTATATGTATATTTAAGTTTTTGTTCCATAGAAAAATTAATCAAAAAATGAAAATGAAACTAAATTACCATTTTAAGATATTTATATCGATTCGAGAATACAAGAAAATTTTGATTGTGAAAGAGAAAGAAGTTGAACAAGGATGGAATTAGAATTAGAAAGGATGAGGCATTAGTGGCAGTGATGATGGAAAAGCCACTTACAGTTCAATATGCATAAGTGCATTTCTTAAGATCCGAAACATCAATTAAATAAATGAACTATTTTTTAAAAAAATACTAACTGGTAGACTCATTTTTATCAGCCATTTCTACTTTCAATGAACACTAACATTTTTTTGTAGGCAAAATGCACTGCGGCCAAGGTCTATTGTGTGCCCAATACCAAAATTATGTACATCTGAAAAAAAATACGACATGATTGGCATACAATTAAAAAAAATATTTAAGTTTAATTCAAACAAAATTAAATACTCCAGTTCATCAAGCGTAGAATAATATTAGCTAAAATTAATGTAACTCCTAACAATATGAATATACATGTTTATTCTTTCGCTTCAATTAATATTTTTAAATTAAATCATTTATGTTAACCAGTTTCAATTCTCCCTCTCAAAAAATATTATTAATTAAGTGCTAGTTAAAGAAATTTTTAAAAATTATTTTGGCCAATTTTTACGTTTTGCTATTTATTTTAGTTTGTACCACTTGGTAATACCTAATAATCTGACAACCACCTAGTATAAAATTATTCAAATATTCCTTTACATCACAATTGCAAAAATATAATTTGGGAAAATCAGCTAATTAGTAATGCAAATAAAATAAATAAATTACTTTTAACTATTAAAGTTTTTAACTTCAATCATAGATCAAAATATATCTAGTAAAAAAGTAAAACTATATTATATAGTTTTAATTTTAATTATTGTTATGTTCGTGAGGGCTTATAGTTAATTATCCAATAAACACAAACAAAATGTTTCTCAATAATAAAAAATTGTACGATGAAGAGAAGAATAGTTGGGGTGGTCAGTCAAAAAAGAAGGCAAAAATAAATATTATCATTTATTTTTGCCTTCTTTTTTGACTGACCACCCCAACTATTCTTCTCTTCATTATCCACGACAGTCAACCATTTACCAATTATAAAAAATTGTACAATTAATAAATCTGTGGTAACCATTTTTTTGCAGTCAGAATAATTTTCTAAAACAGCTAAGTTATATTGATAATGGTGAAGGAAGGGTTGATAAGAGATTGTCACAAAAAAAAAAAAAAGCCACAAATAATTATTAACATAAGCTTAATTTTAGTTGCATCACTAAGTAATTCACTTGAACTTATTTAAATGAGTGCCAACATTTCGGCCTAAGTTTCAGGCTAAGGGTGGCGGTTTGAATGGATCTCACAAGCGAATGACTATTCAAAAATATTTGTAATTTTTTTTATTATTGCATTAATTCATAACAGTAATAAATTCCTGCCTATCTTACAGCGGGGTGAATCTGACTAGTGAGAATTTGGAACTGAGATGGCTGGGACTTGAGATGCCTCCTCATAAGTGTAGCTGGAAACTAATCACTAACAACTCTCTAGTCTGGAGGCGCAGAGACCAGGATGATTCACCATATAAAATATTTGTTGAGAGTACAAAAATGATTGTGCCACTGTCGAATGCTGAGGCAGAAAGCCATTCCTATCAGTCAAATTGGATACACTAAACTTAAGTAGAAGGATGGGAGATGGTTTCACATCTCTTTAAAACCAGAAAGTGGGTCAAAAAATCCAATTTCAGATCTCTCAAATATGGTCTCAGCATCGAAGTTTTCGGAAAATTATTTTATAAGATCTTAACCAGTAAGGCTATTAAACTTTAACCTCTATTTTAAAAAAAAATCTAGACTAATATAGATTCGAATAAATAAAAAAAGGCTGATGCGACAGTTTGTTAGATGCCAAAATATTTTATAGCAACAGGTCACATTTATTAACGGTAATGATAAGAAAATGTGAACAGCAATACAACCTTACAATAACAAAATATTATTGTAACCTACCTCAACCAAGATGACCTTTCCCAGCAAATTAATTTATTAACGATTAGCAGAAATTACTAAATAAAATAAAAGTCATTTGTAATTGAGTTGATTCTAAAATACATTACATAGATGCTAAGCGAACAAATACAGAGTTGTGTAGTTCCTAAATAGGGTCAAGGTAAATAAATACAAGTAGAGAATCTCTACTAGAGAGAGGGAAGTTCCTAAACTCAGCGCTGATGGCCATTGTTTAATTTCAATACAGAAATAAATATAGAACTGAGTAAAAGTATCCGGCGAATCCATCGATCTCAACTTCTATATCATCGATGAAATAAGAAACACGGTGAATTTCATCGATGATTTTAGGAGCGTTATGATGAATTTCTCGCAACATCGATGAGCTCAGCGCTGGATTTAGGAAGTTGTCCATAATATTGATTCCATACTTTACTAAATTACATCGATAAACGGGATACAATAGTCTGGTGTTATTTGAAACAAAAAATATATAAATATTGAGTTTCGATATCCCACTTAATCTAAGACAACACAGAGAATTTATTTATAATTTCTTATTTAATAAATACTTTTTACTCTCCGTATGTAAAGTGGAGACTCATTATTAAATGAATGACAAAAATTCTTGTGATTGAGAATGATTTCAACTAATTAACTTCCTTGTACAACCATTGGTTTAGAAACAGACCGGACGAGGAGGAGAATTTGCCGTGATAATAGACCAAAAGCCAGAGATGGGTAAATGCTTATCCGAGTACCGAGTACGAAATATTTTACTCAAATTAAATCACTACTTCAGTTAATCGTTTGACATCAACTAAAGTAGTAATTAAATTCTTTGATACTCAAAAAAGGTAAGTATTTGACAAAAATTCTTGGTACGCAGTACTCAAAATAGCATTTGCCCATCTCTGTCCGGAGCCCAGGGCTCGAAGGGGGTCCTTCCTGCCTATTAGTTTATATTTGTTAATACTTCTGAATAAGGATTAAAATAAAGTATACTTATATAAATTAATTAAATAAATTACATATTATATAATATTTATGTAGCATGTAAAAGTTCTGTGATGTGAATCCTTTCTCATACAAGCCTTTTCTCTCTGATTATATTTATTTTGCTGGGCCCACACTACAGGCAAATATCTACTATTGAATTTTATCTCAAAATGCAAACTGACCTGACCCCAACAACACTGGGTCCAGGTTAAGCATTGGTTTGTTTATGAAAGGTTCTATTGCTGCTTTCCTATGTTTTCGGTTAAGGTACTATTTGGCTGGCGCGGTCGACGACAGCGACCGCTATTCCCCCCTGCCAACCGCTGTTGGCGTAGCTATTTCGCTGAAACTGCTCACTGGGGTTGTTATAACCTGCCTATAACCTTCGAACATTTCGCTGTATCTTCGAAGATAAAAAGATGGACATAATATAAGAATAAAAATGAACTTCCTATAATAATGAACATCTCTGACTACCGCTTTTTTATTTGAGTTGGAAAAAGAAGAGAAAATGTTGTTCATAAAGAGAAGGAATATCAGTATTTCGATGTGATGCTCATCATCAAAGTTCCTCTGATATTACATATTATTAGTTTGAAAAATAATAGTAATTAATACATAATTGGTTAGTAATAAATATCATATATTTGCAATTAAATCTCAGCAAGCGATGTTTTATAATTTTATCAATAGTAATCAGTAAATCACCACTTTAATTAAAAAATACAAATCGTTTTTTCAATGGGTGGATTTTAGTATTTATCTGACGATAAAATTTGTTGGATTCTTTAATTTATGTAATATAGTTTGTATTTCGCTGTAAAATATTTCTGGTGGAATAAATAAATGAATAATCTTGTTACTTCAACCTTAAAAAAATAATTTACTATTGCATTGTTTCAGTTTTAAACAATATTTGTTATAATTTTGCCAGACTTGACAGAAACATAGGAAATAAAATGTATCGAAGTGACTGTTATCATCAAAACAATGCTCTGATATGATAATATAACCTACAACCGCCGAACCGCCAACAGCTCCACTGCTTCAAGAGGAGTCCGATACGAGCAGCTTAGATATGACGTCATACCTAGACTGCCGAGCAGCGCCAGCGAAATAGGTTCCTTTCTATTCCACTAAAGCAGTGGTCAACCGCGAGCAGTCGCGGTCGTGGACCGCGCCAGCGAAATAGTACCTTTATTGATTATGTTGTGCAGTTTACAAATCTGAAATGTTGCTACTATTTTTATAAGTCTGCAGTAAGGTTTTTTCTTGAGCCTTTTGTTCTATTGGATATTTTTATAACTATTTTTTAAATGGAGATTAGAGTTAGATAATCTCACTATTATATTTATAAGAGGATATTTCATTTTATGTAGTGGGTTCTTTTGTTAAGAAACGAGAAATCGGTTTGATAAGTACAGAAATACCATTGGAAAAAAATTGGTCTTCTATATAAACATAAGGTTTCTTATTATAATGTGGAAATGATATGTTGCCATTTACTTTAAGGAGAATAATTAAAGAGAATGGTTGGGATGATCAGTAAAAAAAAAACAATTATAAAAATAAATAAGTAAATTCATATTGTGCGCCAGTATAGTATCTCATAGTAGCACTATGATTGTTTTTTATAATTGGTAAATGGTTGACTGTTGTGGATAATGAAGAGAAGAATAGTTGGGGTGGTCAGTCAAAAAAGAGGGCAAAAATAAATGATAATATTTGTTTTTACATATGCCGACGTTTCGACCGGAAGTTCAGGGCTTTCTCCAAAAGTTTTCAAGGAAAAAAAGTTGTTTCTTCTTCATTCTCCCTTCAACACTTTTAGAGAAATACCTGAACTTCAGGTCGAAACGTCGGCATATGTAAAAATAAATATTATCATTCATTTTTGCCTTCTTTTTTGACTGACCACCCGAACTATTCTTCTCTTCATTTTGATTGTTTTTATAAGCAACTTAAGAGAGAACCTGTTATTTTGCCTCCAACTTTTATTTCATGATCATTATCTGTTAGTGCACACTATTGAAAGAATTTAAAACAAATCAAATGTTTAAAAACCTGTTTAATGGTATATTTGCCAAGAAAGCTGCCCAAAATTATTTAAGATGCTTGATTTTTTTTATTTCCTTGGGATAACTTCTGGCCTAAGTTCTGATCACAAAGTTCTCTTATAAGTTGTTTACATATATGTAGATGTTGAAGAATGGACAATTTAGATCTCAAGCAACTCATTGATAATAGCTATATTTATTATGGAATAAACATTTAGGACTCCATTATTATATTTTTGCTGAAATTCTTATAACCTGTTCTTCAAAATTTTAAAAGTAATTAGTAACTGATCTAAGAATAAATAATTTTGTGTTCTTGCGATTGAAATTGGTTGCCTTTAATAATGTAAAGGAATCAATGTATGGGTGACAATCAATATTGGTATTCGCATTGTTAAATTTTAATTACATTTTAGCTGATATATTTTATCCATTAACAATTTGGAGCATTTAATTTTGGTTTGAATGGTTGAAATTTTGTAATAATCATTACATCATAAATCATAAATTTATTAATGTTTCTTGTTTATTTTTTCAGTTTTATATTTTGACTTCATGCAGAGATGGGTGATGAAAATAAATCTTTTTGTTAGTATGGCTTTCTTAACATTTAATTTATTTATGTTCTTCTGATGCACTTTGAATAATATTAAGGGTGTTTACAAACAGGGAAATTTCATGGAACTTCATTATTCTGCAAAAGTCCGAGAATTTTACAAAACTCAACAGAAAAACATCTTCACATGCAGAAGAATTTTCTGAAAAGTTTATTGCTTAAAGACATAAAATGAATTAATTTTTAGAGAATATTATTTTTTTCTTGATTTTTATCCACCTAGATGATTTAGTACATCATCGAATCCATTTAGTCTATTTTTCTTGATCCTCTGAATTTTATGATGATCAATTCATTCTTTTTAGGACTTACTTTTACCACTGATACATCTTGTAGACACCCTGAATATTATAATGGCTTTTCCCTGACCACTGCGAGTACTTTCTTCCTTCTTTCACCTACTTTCTATTCACATCCTACCGCACTTCTTATATCTTCCAGGTCTCTGAATTTAAAATTAAAATTCACTCTTCAAATATATGTTTCTTCTTTTCTAATCATTATATAACTTTCCATGGAACCTCTGCTGTATCTGACAGATCATCTTGCTATTGTACCAATTGCTAATGGAACTATATCCCACCACTTTTGCACAATATTCCCACAGTTTCTATGTTTAAATCCTTATTCATCATATTTATATATTTCTATAAATAAAAAATTCTTTCTGCTTTGAATTGATTAAATTTTTGTAAATATTAATTAACTTTATTTTTAAAAATTAATTATGTAATAAGAAGTATGGGTTATTATAAGTTCTGTTCAAAAGCAAAACTCCTGAAGGTGCAAATTATTAATTTTAAAAAGACGAGGTCTAACGTTTCCTATGCCCTTCAAAAATTAAAAAAAAAAAAATCAAATTAGCAGAATTTTACTTTAAAAAATTGACATGTGAGGTTAGTTTTCAACTTTCATAGTTTTTATTTTTGACCAATGATATTAAGGGGTTAAGTTTAAATGTAAAAAGTGTGCATTGATTAATGATATGCCTTATTTTTATGTTACTTTTCTCTAGTATAAATAATTAATTTATCTTTTTCATAAACTTAATTTCTATTGATAGTATACTATCTTTGAAAAAGTTCTGTTGTTTAATTAAGTTTTAAATAGGAAACATTTTGCAACATCAAACGCATCCAATCCTTTCAGTCTAAAGTCCTTCGAACAATAGTTGATGCTCCTTTCTTCCTACAAAACCCTACATCATGACCTCAACATCCCATTTGTTCTTTTTTTTTTTTTTTTTTAACTTCCTTTATTGAATATTAATACATTCTGCCACATTGAAGGGCATTAATATTAAGGCTACATGATTCATTCACACAATATGTACATACAATTAATATCAATAATAAAGAAAAATAAATATAAAAAAAAAATAAAATAAGTAAATTGGTATGCCTGTGTACAAAAAAAATAATGAAATAATAGATAAAAGATAGATGAAATTAAAGTAAATAAATCACGTTCACACCTATGTACAATATTTACATTCACCCAGGGGACTCTGAGTCATGCCTTACTCCCCGACGTGGAAGCCAAGGCAGGACTCCAGGAGATCCCAGTGCTTCTCTCTCAGCCGCGACACTGTTATTTAAAACCAGTGGAAACTGATGTAGCAGTGTTGCTGATAGCAACAGACGCTCATGTGGCTTGAGTGGAGAATCTGGCCATTGCCAGTACTCCAATATGTACATATTTACAAAAGATCGCGGGGCCACTGCCGTTTTTATCTCAGGGAAGGATTGTAGGGATGGCTGGAGCTAGATAGGGATTGTGCTACAGGATTTGGATGATGAATGAGTTTCTGGTGAAATTTGGAAAATTTCTCTGGGATTAGGTCAATAACAAATGGGATATGAAGGTCATTATGGAGGGTTTTGTTGGATACATAGAAGGGAGCATCGACTATTGTTCGGAGGATTTTAGACTGGAAGGATTGAATGCGTTTGATGTTAGAAAGTTTTGCTGTTCCCCACAGTTCTATTCCGTAGGTCCAAATAGGTTTCACGATTGTCTTGTAGATTAATAGTTTGTTGTCGACTGAGAGTTGAGATTTTCTATTCAATAGTCTATATAGTTGTCCGTATCGTCTGTTAAGTTGTTGTATTTTAAGTCTGGTGTGTGGGTTCCATGTTAGTCTTTTGTCTAGAATAAAGCCAAGATACCGGACTGTGTCGGACAGAGGAAGTGGTAGGGAGTTGAAGTAGACTGGTGGACAGGAATTGCGTCGAAGGGTAAAAATAATATGTTTGGATTTGGATTCATTTACTTGGATTCGCCACTTATTACACCAGTGTTCAATAAGAGAGAGGTGACTTTGTAGGTTTAAGGATGCTATTTCAGGATCTGGATTGGAAGATAAGATGGCTGTGTCATCAGCGAATGTTGCCAGGAGTGTTTCAGGATGAGTAGGAATATCAGCGGTAAACAGAATGTAGAGGACGGGACCCAAGACGCTGCCTTGAGGAACTCCCGCCTTGATTGAATGACAGTTGGAGGATTCTGTACCATAGCGAACTTGAAAGGAGCGGTCAGAGAGGAAGGATAGGAGGATAAGATATAAGGAATGGGGTAGATGGGATTTGAGCTTGAAGAGCAGTCCGGCGTGCCATACCCGATCAAAAGCTTGCGCAATGTCCAGATATAACAGTACTCTTTGCTTTCTAGGGCTGAGGATATGTGGTCAACAAGTCGGAGTCCTTGTTGGAAAGTGGAATGTTGGAAGCGAAATCTGAATTGGTGGGTTGGAAGGTTTTGGGATTCTATTATGGGTAGGATTCTTTTCAGTAGGATTTTTTCAAAAATTTTGGAAAGGATTGGGAGTAGGCTAATTGGTCTATATGATGATGTATTATTGGAAGGTTTGCCAGGTTTCAAGAAAAGGACGATGGAGGAATGTTTCCATAAGAGAGGAAAATGGGTAGTTCTTAGGATGCAGTTGTATACGTACGTGAGGAATATGATTGCTTTGGGTGGTAGTTGATGAAGGATCTGTGGGGTTAGAAGGTCGTATCCAGGAGATTTGCGGGAAGATTGTTTTTGTAAATGATATTTGACCTCAGATGGATGAACTGCTTTTGGTGGTAAAAAGAGTGGAATTAGTGAAGAAAGGAATTCTTCTACTATTGTAGTGTGGGTTGGATTGGATTCGGGATGAGGAATAAATGTACTGGAAAGGTGTTTGGCGAATTCCTCAGCTTTGTCTTCATCAGACGCCGCCCAGGAGCCGTCACCTCGACGGAGGGGATGGGAAATATGGGTTTTTAGGATTTTTTTGGTGATATTCCAGAGGGAGTTGTCGTGAGCAGAGAGGGAGGTAAGGAAGGAGTTAAAGGATTGGGATTTGAAGTTGGATAATTCTTGCTTTAGTTGTTTACAGAGATAGTTATAGGAGCTGCGGTCAGTGGGATGTCTGGTACGTTGCCATAACAATCTGGCATGGCGTTTGGTATGGATTAGGTTGAGGATGTGATGAGGTAATTTATTTTTCTTTGGAGTTCTAGGGGAATGATTAGGAGAGGAAGCAGTCCAGACTGCTTGTTGAATGATGGTGGTTAAGGAATGTACAGGATTGTCAAGGTCTTCTGGGATTTTCAGGGTTATTCTAAGGTCAATTTGATCGGAAAGGATTTGATGGAAGAGTTTCCAGTTGACTGGGCCTCTGATGAAGGATGGTGGAGAGGGTTTAGGAATAGGAGCTAGTGATACTTGGAATATTAATGGACTGTGGTCTGAGGAAAGTTCATCAAGGCGTGCAATGGAATAGGAATAGTAGGGGACCTAAACCACTATGGATGAAGAAATCGAGGATATTGGGATTACGGTTAGGATCAATGGGCCAGTAGGTAGGTGAGTTCGGGGGAGCGAGATTGAAATGTTGGGGGTTAAGTGCAGACAGCAGTGTTCGACCTCGAGAATTCGATAGGAGCTAGTGATACTTGGAATATTAATGGACTGTGGTCTGAGGAAAGTTCATCAAGGCGTGCAATGGAATAGTTTAGGGGACCTAAACCACTATGGATGAAGAAATCGAGGATATTGGGATTACGGTTAGGATCAGTGGGCCAGTAGGTAGGTGAGTTCGGGGGAGCGAGATTGAAATGTTGGGGGTTGAGTGCAGACAGCAGTGTTCGACCTCGAGAATTCGTTGTTCTTGAACCCCATTGCTGATGCTTCCCATTTGTTCTAGACCTTATCCCAGGAAAATTCTCTAAGTTTCAACAGAACCTTACGTATTATCCAAATCCTCCTGCACAATCCCAATCAAGCACTTTAATTAATTTATTTATTGTAAATACTTTTTTATTATTATTTATTTGTTGTTTTGTTCCTGTTTATTTTATATTTTTTTGTATATATAGTGTGGATGTAGTCTTACCTCACTATAACCAATGTTCAAGAATGTAATATTCAATAAATAAATAAAAATAAAAAATAGAAGAAATGTTCATTTTTATGTCTCTAGGCACATATTTGTAATGTATCTTTTCTATTTTTCAGGTATGAATAAGTTAAGTGTTCCTACAAAAGAAGAAATGACTGATGAAAATGTGTCTGTTTGTATGTACTCATTTTTATATTGTGATATTTATTTAAGACTGCTTTAAATATTAAAAATGTGCATTGGCTGTTATTATGTTCTTAAAGTATATATGTTTTATTTATCTTTGTTTTAGGTAAAAGTAACTTGAGTGTTTCTATAAAAGAAGAAATGACTGATGAAAATGAATATATTTGTAAGTACTTTTTTAAAAATACATTTAATTTGAAAAAGTAATTTACAAAAATAGATGTGAATAACATTAATAACTACCTCTAAGCGACCAGGCATATTTGGTTGATATAGCGATTATAGTTGCTATAACCAATCATTCTACGTACGTATAAGCTTCACCGCTGTTTTTTTTAAAGCAATGTTATGTCTATAACAAAAGCTTTGAAACCATTCTTTAGACATTTTTTCTGCTAAAGATTGTCTAGTAGTATTTCTTAAGAAATCATTTGCTTTAACGAACAGAATATGGCTACAGTGGAATATTGTGGTTTCTTTGTATTTGAAACCATTTCAGCAACAGCACAAAGATTTCTTTGTAGTTATAATGACAGCGTTTCTGTCATTGTTAACCACTTCCCCTTTCTAAATACCTTGAATCGAGGCCCTATTTTTTAAAATTGAATATATCATGTTCAATTGTTTAGCTAAAGTAATGTTAATCTCTCCATTTTCAAGATGGTAGTAGTAAGAAACTTTTCCTCCACATTGGAAGTTTTTCATTTTGACATGTTACACTAATTTGAAGGAATTAATTTGAGTCATCACACTTAAAAATTGATTCAGTTGTTCCCTTAAAAAATGGTCATATAACTTTCTGCAAATTGATTAACCACATTTAATTTGATCACGGGTCAGTATTTTTAGCTCAGATTGTTACAAAACATTGAGGGGATCTCAGCGAATATTATATATATAACTATATATATATTATATATATGTATAATTACAGTAGATAATTAACTGCTTCAAAATGGATTCTCTTCTTCAAGTAATGGACTTATAAGTTTTTAACACGTTAAACGATATCAAGTGTATTTCATATTTTAGGACTTGGACTTAATTAAAATATTTATTTATTTATTAAAGAATCGGTGTTACATGCCCTTTCATAACTGTATAAAGCACTTTATCACTATAAATCATTTTTATAATTGACTATTTTAAACATTAAATCATTTTCATCAATTATTATTTATGGCATAATAATTATATTTTTTATGTCTCTATTGGATTTTTATAGGTGTAAATAGTTCAATTAACTTTAGTGATTCTATAAAGGAAGAAATGACAGATGAAAATGAGTCTACTTGTAAGTATCTTTTTTTTTTTTAATTTTGTTTTTAATAATAAATTTGTAAAAATGCAAATTGTTCAATTTATTAGGATTTTAATGTAGTTTAAATGTTTAGTAAAATATTTTAGCAATAAAAAAAATATCTGGTGTGTCCACTCACACGACTTTCCTACCTGTTTCAGAAAAGTTTTTATATCTTTACATATGCCATAGCTTAGTATTGTCAAACAATAATTTCTGTTAAAAGTAGAGGAAATAGTGAAGATTGTGTGATGCGGGCAACATATTTTCTTACTTTCACTTAGTCATCTTTATTCTCTCTCTCTCATTCACCCCTTTCTGACACCATGATATGAAACCGTAATCTTACATTGGAAATTAAATAGCTGTAACTTCGTTAATAGTTGTCCAAAATGAACGATTTTTATATGGCTTTGTAGTGAATTTCATTGCCTTTCAAACGACAGGCTAAACGGCATATTTTTCGGTATTTCGGTATTCACTATTGTGCATGGAGCACCGAATTTAAACAGACAGACAGACCAATGGCTAAAAAAGTGTTTTTCGGACTCAGGTTGCTCTGAAACGTATAGATCCGTCGAAAACCGCATGTCGGAAATTTGACCCGATTGCAATACTTTCCTTACCTAGTATAGGTAGGAAAGTAATATGTTAAAAGATAGAATAAGCTGTTTCATCGCTAAAGGAGACCCTACACGGTCAATCGGAATTGCACTAATGACGTTCCGAATTGTCGTGTAAGGTAGTGAATGAAGTACTGATGCTGGTGCACTGCGGATTTCCGAACACCGGGAAATCAAAGGTTCATTCACGAGAAGTGGAGGGGGGACTGAGGTAAAAGTAGTGGGGAGACTAACCATACTGCTGGATAGGTTAGGTTACCTAGGCCTCACAAACATTATAAATTTCTGATTTTCATTATATGTAAATAGTTAAATAATTTTTCATATCCCTTGTTTATAATTTTAAACCATCTTCAACTATTTCTTTTAAATAGTCAAGTGGGCAACAAATTAAAAAAAAAAAATGAGGAAACTTCACAATTTACTTGAAAGGAAAAAAAAAACTTTAACGTTGTGTATATTTATCAGTTCTTTTCCCATTTTCCTCAACAAATTTATTATTTTCCCAATACCTTTCCTCAATTTTTGTAAGTAGTAGACTTATATTTTACTAACTTTTGTCAAAATGATTTTCTATGAGACTAACCTAACTACTAGATAGGTTAGTTTACCTAGGGCTGGTTCTTAAGTAAATAATTTCATAAAAGTAAATAGTTGTTTATATCCCTAGTCTATATTATTATTAACCATTTTCAACTATTTTTTCTTTAAATAGTCAAGTAGACAATAAATTGGAGAGAGAAAAAAGTGGAAACTTCACAATTTACTTATAGAAAAAAAATCTTTAACTGTTGTGTTTATTTGCCATTAATTTTTCCATTTTTCTTAACAAATTGATTATTTTCGCAATACTTTTCATAGATTTTTGTATGTAGTTGACTTATATTTTGGACTAACTTAGGTCTAAACGATTTTCAGGCACTAGGAAGTAATTATTATATCTCCGTTTTTCTCTTGATGCCCAATATTATAAATGACAATGTCCAAATAAGCATATCTATGCTGTTTCTTTGTTTACAACTGCGCTAAATTGGTTAGCAACGATCTAACCTAAATCAGCAGAGATAAGTAATGATCAGCAATGACTGAACGTGTAAGGGTCTTCATGATCAAAGCGATAGCGGGCAATCTTGGAACTTCTTGTGACGTTCATTCATGAATTACCGTGTAGGGTCTGCTTATTACTGGTCCGACTCTGATGATTTTTTTTTTTTTATTTTGTTGGTAATTTAATTTTAAAAGTTGTATTATAAATTTTACCATATAATATATACTTAAGGAGCTAGGCCCCATAACATTTTTCATTTCTTTATAACTTTTTTTCGGAAATTTAGTCTATGTACGAAAATTGAAAGAACAATGATTAAAACATTATAGGAAAGTTTCATCAAAATCGTTACAGCCTTTTTTGCCCTACAGTCTATAGAAAAACATGTTTTCCATTTATTGCACATGGAGCACCGAATTTCTGTCACAGGCATCAGTAGTCAAAACCCTACAAAATAAAAAAAGAAGCAACAAAATCGGTTCAGTAGTTCCCGAGAAAATCCTGGCACAGACAGACAGACAGACCAATGGCTAAAAATCTGTTTTTCGGACCCAGGGGACTCTGAAACGTACAGATCCGTCAAAAACCGCATGTCAGAAATTTGACCCTATTGCAATACTTTCCTTACCTAGTATAGATAGGCAAGCAAAAAATGATAATGCATTAGCTAGCTACTGTAACTTTGAAAATTCGTGGTATTTAATTAGGTTAGTAATTAAATCCAGTAGTAAAGACTCTATGTTTACTGATGTAATGGTGTACTGTTTTTGTTTTTCTGTCATACAAAAAAAAAAAAAAAAAAATGAAATTAATTTATTGAATTTTCTGTGTCTGTCACAAAACAATCTGTTTGTAAGCATTCCTTATCAAAAATTTAATTTCTTATGAATATGTTTGCGAAAATGTTAACAGTTCCTGTTTTTAAGAGTCAATTTTGTTTGTATTTGTCCTATTAAAAACTGATGCTGTATTAAAAACCTTACAGGAGCTATTGAAATTAATTATTTATCATTGATAGATATTATTCTACCTGCAATAAATGGAAGTACTTGATTGAATTTTAAGTATTAGGAAATGTCTGTTTTTATAACGACTTTTTTTTTTAGGCATTAACAGATTTAGTATTTTCATAAAAGAAGAAAGACCTGATGAAAATGTGTCTGATTGTAAGTATGATTTTTATAAATTTAGTTTAATTAATAAGTTTACTCAAAACTGTGAGTTATTTTTATTTTTTAAGACTTTTGATTTTAAGTACATCATTGAATTTAAACTGATGTTCAAGATGTTTCAAAAATTAAAAAATGTTTAATTATTATAGTTATACCATAAACATTATATTTTTGAAAAATGTTTGAAAAATGAAAAATTCATTTTCATCATCCATTTCTACTAATGGAGAAATGGATGATGAAAATGAATCTAACTGTAAGTATTATTTTTGAAAAATTAGCTCCTGATGAATAAGTTAACGAAAATTTGAATTATATTTTAAGATATGTAATTATTCTGCTTGGGGAAGATTTACTTATATATAGATAACAATAATAGTATTGTGTAATTTATCTTCCCTTTTTATTTATTTTCATCACATAAGTTTACATTGGTATTTTAGTGTTTTGTCGTCTCATCTTCAGATTCGTCTTATACTTTTTCATATTCTCTTATTTTACATCGATATTCTGCTTATAAATATTTTTAGACTGAAATTTATTTAATGAGAACTAGCATAAATTAATTAATACAAAAGTACCGTGTCCCTTTCTTTATAAAAATGTATAATCTCCCTCCTTAAGCTTTTGGCATTATGAATAACCAAAACCATTTTCCTTGTTTATTTTATAATGTCTTAAAAATGTAGATTTTTAAATTTAATTTTTATAATTCTTTTTATTAATATTCAACCAAATTAGTCTTAAAGAAAATGTTTAAATTCAGAAATGGTTTAATGGTGCAAAGCCTAAGTATTTTAAAACCTGAGTAGCAATAATCAATGCCTTACATATTTAAACTTCCAGAATATTTTTGTATTAATATAATTCTGCTAAATTGTAAAAGTTTATTTACAATTTTCTTTTTTCATTCAGCAGTTTTTTCACTGCATTTCAAAATTGTTATAAAAATAAATATAATTCCAAGTTGTGAAACCTGGTAATTGCCGGCTTTTTTGAAAATTTTCTTTAAGGTTAAAAAAATCCTGTAGCTAATTGAAAAAAATGAGCAAATTCTGTGTGATTACTAAAAATTTCCTAGAGGTAGATCAGGTATTTTGTAAACATTCTATGATATTGCTTTTTTGGAGGTATAATTTTTGATGGTTTAAACAATGAATGATTATTTTGTAAAAAAATAAAATATTCAATAATTTTCTCTTATAATATAATTACTGAATTTTGTTGCAGTTCTGCCTCATGGTATGAAACAGGAGAAAAGACAACATCCTGGTGAGGATTTCTTTTACTATCAGCATTTCGGCGGTTTTCTTATAAAATGATACTGATTATAATGATTCAAATCTCATTATACTTTATTATTTTTTTTGTTCCCCATTCCTCGCTTGTCCTATATGGAGTTATCCTGGGCCAAATGATGAGAGCGGGTGATTAATGCTTGAGTTAAAAGCCCCTCTCCCCTTCTCCTTTTTCTCCTCCCCCCTCCTTTCAGCCACCAAAAAATCTCAGTAATAGTTATAGTAGTTTACTTCGTTCACACTTTTTGTATCCTTATCTCTGTTAGAAATCCATTTGGGATGCCGAAGTATATAAAAAGTGTCTTGTTCCTTCTAATATTCTTTAATACTTAAGGACTTGTTTTGCATATATTGCCATTGACAGCGATGATGGCCTCAAGTGCCCAATATGAAAAACATCTTGGATCACAACTTAAACATCCATTCAGTTAAGATTTACCAGACGTTCTCTCAGTGAAGGGGGCTTTCCATCTTTTACAGCTTTACAAGCTCATCGGCACTTTTCAGCAGATCCAATCTTCCTTTCATGAATCTGTTTTGCCCATTTGTTCATCCGCAGTGAAAAAGGAGAAGAAGCTTGTTTTGAGTTTTGCAAATGATGTACCGTTTTATATTAAAGAGTTTACTTAGAAATACTTTAGACCTTGAGACTGGCACTTGGACTGGAAATTGAATTTGATGATTTATTATACATACTTTTCAGAGTAGTTATTATATTTCTTTTATTTAGCTTTATAATCTTTTCCTTCCAATTTTTGTTATTTTTTTCTTTTTCACTGTTACTATTTTGCCATTATGAATTCATCTTTTAAGTTGGAACCTGACATTTTTTTTTAGACTGGGGAAGTAGGCAGTAGGTATGGATTATCTGATTTAAAGAAAAAAAAATAATAAGGCTAAGTCCCAAAAGAAATTGACAATTTTAGCAAGCTAAAATTATCTTTAAAAGAGACAATTAATATTAATTATTAATTTTTTGTAACTTAAATTTGATTTATATAAACAATAGGCAAGTTCCAAAACTCAGTGCTGAGTTCATTGATTGTATCATTTTGCCCAGTTTATAGATAGATCCGATGTCATTGATGAGCTCACTGCTGAGTTTAAGAACTTTCCTAATATCTTTTATAGTTAACAACATCCAACAACTGAAGATTTCTTATTTATCAGACTGTCCTGTATGCAGGAAATGTACAGGAGTTTTTCAATAGTTCTTTCCTTTAAAATAATTATAAGTTTTTTTCCTATGCTCGTTTTGTGAATTTATAAAATTTGTTTGTTATTTTCTATAATTATACATACTGGAGATCTATTCTTTCATTTTATTATTGTTGGTCAACATCTGCAAAAAACAAAGAAAGAGAAACCAGCAGCGTCACTGTAAATAATATGTTTCTGATGATGGAAAAAACATTTCCTGAAACATCTAAAGAATATTATAAATATATAATCAAATAATCTACAGTCATAATGAAGTTATAATACTTTCACCGGTAAAACAAGAAACCTTCCTGCCAAAGAAAAAAATAAGAAGAGATTTATTTTTTTTTAAGTATTCATTCCTTCATTATAATATTATTTAAGTTTCATTATGTTGATATAAAAATGTGTACATTATATGAAGCATAATCCTCTGTCTAAGACTACCATATATTTATTAAAACTATGAAATGTCCACACAGTATAAACCTATTCCTTTGAAATATTTAGTGAAAAACTCTATCCAGAAAACCTCCTGAAATTTATTTCTGTTTTGGTGATGGTTATTTTTTATAATTTTTGTAAAAGGTGATCAGAGACACCTATCACTCAGGTTTGGAAGCAGATGTTTTATTGTTACTTAAAATTAAATAGAATTCTCAAATCATTTGAGATGCTGACTTTTTTTCTTACGTTTTGTTTTTAATATTTTACTGTTTGTTTCCGAATTAAATATACCAAATTGTAGGAGAGGGAGGAGGGGCTGGAGTTGAGGACAAAGTTGAGACTTAGAAAGGAACTTTTCTCACGCCTACTCATTTAATAATTTTTTAATCCTATGAATTAATTTGGAGGAGCCCAAGATGTGCAAAAAGTCACAAAAAAACTGGGTAGAAATTGTAAAACTGTCACTCCCATCGCATTCTCAAACTCCAACTTGATTTAAATTGAAAACCCCTTTGACATAAAATAACTCCCTTGAAAAATAATACTTATATATGTTCTAATATGTCCTTATTTTTTTAACTAATAACCAAACTTCGGAAGATCACTTCATATTTTAGTGATACATCCAAAAGAAATAAGAGGTTGTAATTACAACAAAAATATTAATGTATATATATATATATATATATATATATATATATATATATATATATATATATATATATATATATATATATATATATTAAATTGAAATTTATAATTATTTTATTTTAGGTATAGGTTACTGACAATCACATTAAAAGACTCAGAGAGAGTAACATTAATTACACTAAACACTGTTTGATTTTAAAATAAAGTCAAGTATGATGAATTGGCAAGCTAACTTTTTTTCTCTATACACTGTTTCTTCATTTGTGGCACTGAATTCATTTGTATTCAAACACTCCTATATTCTGCCAAACACACCTTCCAAAATGGTAACCAGTCAATTATAATCAAATAAAATTCTAAAAATCTTTAACTGTTGCAATTTAAATGAAAAATTAATTTCAAATTAAATAAACTAAAAAAAATATTGTTTAAAGATATTATATAATATACAAGAGGTCATATTTAATCCTCTTCCTACCCCCTGTTCTCAACTCTACATTACATGGCTTAAAATATATAATATCTATTTTAATGAAAATATATAATATCTATTTTCATTTTAATATAACTTTAAATGTATAAACTGTGATTTCACAGTGACACTGTCGCCAAGGAGCCGTTGTATACTTATCACCAGAAAAAAATTCCCTATGATTTGTCACAGTGATTTCCTTGGAGCTGTGTTTTCACTGCTACAAGCAACTACTGCTCCAACCAAACAACAACTCTCTCAGCCAAAACAAAACTCCTTTGTTCCTCCTCTAGCAGCCATTTTCTTTTCCCTGAACTAGTGAAAATATTTTTCAAATATCCCCTGACAATAAATAGCAGAATTAGATTAGCTTGCCTTTTAACTTTTAACATTAATTTACTAAATCGTTTTTACTAACTTCTAATAAAGGTGAAAATTACAATATATATATATATATATATATATATATATATATATATATATATATATATATATATATATATATATATATATACTCCTATAATTATGTTCTAGAGGTTCGTTTTAGAAAATATATAAATAGAAAAAAATTATCAAGTACCCTCCTTCTCCGATAAAATGCTACAGTCCATTATTTTCGTGAATTATAGAACTATAAAGGGACTTTTTAAATAGTAAAAACGAATGATTGAATGTAGTTTAACCATGTCAGATTACTCAGATTCAACCGTATCGCATTTATTTTGTGTACAGGAGGACTCAAATGTGGTTTGCATAAAAAAAAAAAATAAACAATTTACATGAGTATAGGTTGTAATAAGAGTTTTCATTACACTGTAGGGAGCTGTATTCATTAGTTTAACTTTTAATTACTTAATTTGTGGATCAGAAAAGTATTTTTTTTTTTTTTATATGATAATGTATGGGAAAAACCCTGAAAATACGAGAAAAAATTAGGAAATATGTGGAAATTTTTTGGGAAGAATGAACACGCTGTTAATTTATTTATTCATAGTGATAAGATATATTTATTTTTTTGCTAGTTAAAATTAAAATATTATATCCATGTTGGCAGGAGGACTTATTCGTATGAAACAAGAAGAACTTCTCATTTCAGATGTGGGTGAGGAACATTTAAATTATACATTATTTTATTTTTTATTGATACCTAATGATGTTTTTCTGATAGATGAGTCTACCTAATATAATAGTTTTATGGTATTAAAAAAGTTTATTGGGGTGCTTGGCAAAAAATTTTGATTTTATTGCTTAAGAACGACTTTCTTTTTGGAGTGCCTATGTCATTCCAAAAAGAGAGCTGAATATTTTATTATATAAGAGAGGTGCTGATATTTTTTTTAAAATGATTTTCTTTATGCTTCAGTACTGATGGTGATTATAACATTATTATGGTAATAGATAATTTTTCCAGCTCTTTGGAATGAGGTATTTTGATGAATGAGGTATCAAATAAAAGAGAATTTCATGAAGAAGTGATAAATTTGAATTTTGATTCTTAAATTTGTATCATAAATTTAATAAAAGTCATTAAAAGAAATTAGGATGCTGGTAAGTTGAAGGATCGAGATGAGATTAATAACGTTCTAAGATTTCTACACGGGTATCATCTTTTGGAACATACAGGGTCTTGCATTTTATAGTTAAAAATCTACCATATTTGAGAGGAAAAAAAACCTGTACCACTATAACCTATGAAGGGTCGAGGGAGGGTTCTTGATTAAGAGAGGGTTCTTGTTAAACAATTTCCCAAATTTGTTGTTACAATAATTAATTTTACAGAATGATAATCTGGTGCAAATATATTCAGGTAACATAGTATTCAGCTGAAATAAAGTTGATAATTTAGTTCTAAAAATGTATTTTTAAAAGTGAATAACTTGCTGATGTCCAAGTTATTAAAAAGATCATTTTTGGATTGCTTTTCAAGTCCAAACAATGGGTTGTCGAATTCTAACAACAGATCAACAATGTGAACTTTAATAAGCAGTTCTCGATAATCAGTTCTCAACAATTATTCATTATTATTAATGTTTAAAATAATAAATTTAACAAAAATAATATAAAACTCATATCCTGGCATCCGCAGGGGCTAGTCTAAGTACCAGACTAGTGGGGTATAACACTCCCCTGGGCTCCCGAGTTCAGTACACGATACTCTCTCACCCAGAACAGCACACTAGATACTTATTCATTATATAAGGTCATTTACAGTATTCACCTCAGGGCCACCTTTCCTGGGACGACCCAAGGTTGGGCGTATAGCTAACCATCACCAGTGTTCTTACTGGGCCAATCACCCGTAATAATGTATAAACGATTCAAAGAAACATAGCAAATAGCCTCGGATCTGGACAGACTAGAAGGAAACTACTTGGCATCGAAAAGGACATATGGTTGGGAACTTGGAATATTAGATCTCTTACAGGTAAAGTAGCAGAAATCATCGAGGGGATGAAGACGTACAGGTTGGATATTCTGGGAATCAGTAAGGTGCGGAGGAAGGAAGCTGGAGTGATGGCGATGTACGGCGGTCATAGGTTGATATATTCGGGAGTCCTTCCAGGAAATAGGGCTGCAGAGGGAGTAGGCATTATAATGAAGGATGAGATGTTCAGAGGAGTGGTGGAATGGGAACCAGTGAACTCACGCATCCTAGAAGTTAATATTAAGTTGCGTATAGGAAACTAGATCCTAATACAAGTGTACGCTCCGACAAACGATGCAAGCATACTAGATACGGAACAGTTCTATGCAGACCTAGAACGTTTGGTGATCAAAAATAAAAATAGTAATAGGAGTATCCTCATTATGGGAGACCTCAATGCACGAACAGGCAATGACTGCGTGAAAGCACATGGTGTGATGGGTCCGCATGGAGGCGAGAAGTTGAAGAATGATAGCGGTCAGCGACTGATCGAGTTCTATGTGGACAACAACATGCTTATTGGGAATTCTTATTTCCCTCACAAATCAATGCACAAAATTACCTTCTCTGCCATGGAACAAAATGCAAATAGGGTCATTGACTATTTTATATATGGCTGAGACATCCAGAGGTTTTTTTCAGATGTAAAGGTTAGTAGAGGAGCGGTGATTGGTATTGAACATATGTTACTGGTGGCTGACTCCAGGATACCTAAGAAACACAAGACACTTTTCTTATCTTTTTTTGTATTCCAATGTTTCTATATATCAGCTTGTGGATACAGTTGATCTGATTAATTTCAATTAAAAAAGAAAACTTTCCATCTATTGTCATTCAAATTTCTTTGAAAACCTTTTAATACCCAATTATGTTGATTATTAAATGTATGGAAGTAATCCGTTCCAGAGGAAACAAACTATGTTTACCAATGCTGGTAGGTGTTATATCACAATGTTCTAAATTTGTATTATCATTAGCTAATAACTTATATTATCGAATTAGGTTATGAAAGTATTAATCAAAGTTAATTAATGTTTCAAATAAAGTTTTTTTTTTTTTTTATAGATCCCACAGTGGATACCAATGAAGGACTTCAAGATGATTATGGTGAGAAAAAATTCAGATTAAAACAATCTTTAATGAACCCTTGGTCAAAGAAAAAAAATATTATATTTATTTAATTTATTATTTGTGATATCCACCATGTTGTGTTTTGCTTACCATATAGTCCAGTACTAATCTGTTTTATTAATTCAAAATTTTAGTTTTTATTTTCTATGTTTTTAATTAAAATTTTTCTGGTAATTTGCATTGAATATACAATGAATTAAAAATCTTCATGGAGTTGATTTTCCTACCTTTCACATATGAAATTTTAATAAGTAGCCAATAAAATATTTTATGTTTATAGGTTCCAAGAATTCTCTCGATAAGGTAAAGGAGATTAGTGAGGGTCACTTGACAACCAAAACAAACATAGCTTTAATGGATGATCCAACACATTCAATGTCTTCTGGTAAAATTGAGAATATTTATTATAAATGTAATGATTGTGGTGGCTATGTAAGGTTATCAGCTGGTAATTTAAAACCACTTATAACATCGCATCAGAAAGATGAGGAGCACTGTAAAACTATCCATTTTGACTACAAATCTGAAGCATCTAGACAAGCTAATCATACAGAGAAGGAACATCATCAGTGTCCTCACTTTGATTATAAATCAATGCAATTTTCATTAAAGCCTGATCAATTTCTTCATTGTGAATATCAATCAGTATCTGCTGGGAATTTGAAAAAACGTATAATGGCTCTTCATACGGAAAAAAGGCCTTACCATTGTCCTCATTGTAAATATAAATCAGAATTTGCTGGGAATTTGAAAAAACATATTCAGGCCGTACACACAGGAGAAAAGCCTAATCAGTGTCCCTATTGTGAATATAAATCAGCATATGCCGGGTGTTTGAAGAACCATATTGTTGCTTTTCACGCAGATGAAAATCCTGATCAGTGTCCTTTTTGTGGATACAAATCAGTGTCTGCTGGGAATTTGAAAAAACATATTACGGTCTGTCAGACATTTGAAAAGTTTCAGCGATGTCCTCATTGTGAATACAAATCGGTATCTGCTGGGAATTTGAAAATACATATTATGTCATGGCACACAGGAGAAAAGCCTCACCATTGCCCTCATTGTGAATATAAATCAGTATGTACTGGGAATTTGAAAAAACATATTATGGCCTGGCACACAGGAGAAAAGCCTCACCAATGTCCTCATTGTGAATATAAGGCGGTACAAAAAGGTACTTTAAATTATCATATTAATAACAACCATACAAAGGAAAAGTCTCATCAATGTCCTCAATGTGATTACAAATCAGTAAGTTCTGTGCAGTTAAAAAAACATGTAATGGCCCTTCATACAGGTGAAAAACCTCACCACTGCCCTTATTGTGAATACAAGGCAGTACAAATGGGTAATTTAAAACTTCATGTTATTAACCGTCATACAGATAGAAAACCTCATCAATGCCCTCATTGTAATTATGAATCAATTCATTTTAATACAATAAAAAGTCATATGAAGGCCGTTCATTCAAATGAAAAGCCTTATCACTGTCCTGATTGTAAATATAGGACAGCACATGCTACAAGCTTAAAAAATCATATTAAGGCACATCATACAAAGGAAAAAACTTTTTCATGTCCTTATTGTAGTTATAAATCAAGAAATTCTTCAGTATTAAAAAGACATATAATGGCTCGTCACACGGGTGAAAAGCCTTATCACTGTCCTTATTGTGACTATAAAGCAGTACAAAACTCTTTGTTAAAAAATCATATGTTCCATCATACAAATAAGAAATGTCATCGATGTCCTCAATGTTGTTATAAAACAGTAAATCCTTTATTTTTGAAAAGACATATAAAAGTGCATGATAAGAGTGTGAAGACTTATCCATGTCCTCATTGTGATTATAAAGATACGAGGGTAAAACCTTTGAAGCTTCACATAATGTCAGAACATAGAGGAGTCAAACTTTTTCAATGCTTTCATTGTGAATTCAAATCACTTAAACGATCATCATTGAAATTACATATAAGGGCCTGTCATAAAATTTAAAAATCCTTCTTACTGTTCTTAATGTATCAATAAGATGTTAAGAATTAATGTTTTAAGAACTGTGCTAGTCATTTACTTTATATTTGATACTACCTGTTTCCGGCCATGCGTTGCTGTGTCTCATTCTGATTAAATAGAAAAAGAAAGATATATCTAACGGATTTACCAGTACAAATACAGCATCTCCACACGTGACTCGTTTGCTTCGAAACTAACAAAGCATGCCATAATCACCAAAAATGACTTATTTTGAAAGCTATATTTATTAATTTGGAAAAAATAATCTGGTGAACCACAAAGTAGATAAAGAAACTATTTGTAATATATATTCCTACATTTTCTGTCTCAAACAATATCCTGAATTTTTAATTTTCCTATTTTCTCTGTCAATTTACAAATACTATTCCTCTGTTTATTTTACTCACACACATATATATATATATATATATATATATATATATATATATATATATATATATATATATATATATATATATATAAAACAGGTCTATTGTTAAACAATACAAATTGCCATATATAAGGTACAGCCATGTTTGTATTAGTCAACTTAGCTATGTTTATGGTTATACTTTTGGTACCAGATACTATTATAAATAATGTATAATATATTGTGCTACTAATCATTTCCAATTATTGTAATTGATTTTATTGAAAAGATTATATAGAATAATCAAACTATTATGTATCTGTATTATAATTTTTACATGTCTGTATATATATATATATATATATATATATATATATATATATATATATATATATATATTAATTGTCATTCTTGCTCTCTTATTTATCATTACTACATTCCAAGTCAATTGCTATAATTGTTAGCTCTAAAAAATAACCTAGTTATTGACTACAGGTTAACTTGAATATTGTGGTTATCCAATTATCTGTATTCCATAAACAATAATGTTACCCATACCCCCTTACTTTGCTTCTCTATCTTTGCTATCTTAAAAGCACATCTGGAAAATCCTCCCTCGACCCTCTCACTGAACTACCAAGGTAACTCTTTCAGTGCTGCTAAAATGGTTTAGTAATTTTAAATTTAATATGTATATTATTTTATAGTTTGTATAGCTTATTATATAATCTATTTGTCTGCCTCATGTATTCGCATCATTTTATTTTTTACATGCCATCCACCACTATTTATCATTATTAACTATAACCTGTTGTATAATTTCATATCTCTGGTGTTATAAAATTTTTTAATCCTGATGATGACCCTCAAGCTTGGGTTGAAACATTGGTAACAATAAAAATCTTAATAACTGACTGCATCTTGACTGTTTTATCACCCATGGTTTTTGAGATATGGAAAAAATATGTATTTGGCCTTTTTAGATAAAAAAAACAGTTTTTGATTTGGTGCCAAGGGAAGAATTATGGAATGCACTGAAAAATAAGAACATCCCAGGAGACCTTATCCAAGCAATAAAATCGACATCTAAAGATTCTAAGGGTATAGTAAAGATCAATGGGAAGGAATCAAACAGCTTTAATATGGACAAAGGGGTCAGAGAAGGCGACAGTCTCAGCCCTCTACTTATATTATGTTTATGGATGAGATTCTGAAAATCTGTAAACATAGGACTGGAAGAACAGTTATAGGAAAATGGAATATGAGAACAATTCTAGCCCAAGCTGAAGTGTACGCAGATGATATTGTCCTCATAACATTCCGCAAAATTACAACAAGCAAATGTGGAATGGGAAGCTGAGCTTGAGAGAAAAGGTATGATCACAAACAAAGAAAAAAGTAAGATTATGCAGATAGGTCGAGAAATCGAAGATACAAATAATCTGTAGGGGTAAGAATCTGGAATTGGTAGAGGATTATACATACCTAGGGACAGTTGTTGGTAGAAATGGAAAAATATACCAAGAGATATCAAACAGGATCAAAAAAGCAAATGGCATCTATTACCAGATCTGCACCACATTCTTAGGAAAACGAGAGGTGGAAAATATAACTAAGATCCATATATACAATACACTCTACCTTCCAACCCTATTTTTGATTGTAAATTTCAGAGCGGCATATGACACGACCTGTAGATCTGTGGTTTATAAGAATTTAGAAGAAGCAGGTGTCTCTTCCAAACTAACAGTTTTAATGGAAATGATAATGAGGCACACCAACTGTCAAGTAAGAGTGAACGGAGAACTGTCAAAGTCCTTGAAAAAAAAAGAATGGATTGGGACAAGAAGATGAATTGGCCCCTTGCTATTCAACTTAGTTCTCGATAAAGTTATCAAGAAGGTAAAGTTCTATGTTAATAATATAATCATCAATAAATCACTGTAATTAATGACCTATGCAGATGATGTATTGATTTTGGGAAAAAACAGACAATCTAGGAGCCATAAGCTAACTTGAAAAAGGAGGCAGGAAAAGCTGGCCTAGAAATAAATGTCAGCAAAACCAAATTGATGATTGTAGAGAGAATGAAGTAGCAACACCCATCGTTTTGTAACTTGAACGGAAAAACATTGAAGTAGAAGACGTTTCCGTACCTGTGATCATTAATGACTAACGAAGCCAATTAAACAGAAGAGGTTAAAAGAAGGATTTTGACAAGAAACATACTCTGCTCTTCGACACATAAAAAGAAATAACGCCAAAATAAGATCAGGATATACAAAACCCTTATCAAGCCGGTGGTTATTTATGGCGGGTAATGCACAAGATAACCTGTGACAGGTTCGAGAGGAGAGTGCTGTGAGGAATGTTTGGTGGAGTGCTTGAGAACGGAGTGCGGCGAAGTAGGAAAAACAAAGAAGTCTACGGCATCTATAATGACCTGTCTTTGTCAAATTTTCATTCGAATAAGCAGGCTGAAATGGTTTGGCTATATCAACCGAATGAATGAAGACAGACAGGTTAAGAAAGTATACAAAGTTAAGATTTTCGCCACTAGAGCAAAGGGTAGGCCAAGAGCTCGATGGAAGGAGAAGGTGGAAGAGGGAATGAGACAGACGGGCATCCGTGTAGTGGAGGACAGAGACCTGTGGCAGCAGATGTTGAAGCAGACCACAAAGATCACTTCGGTCTGAAGCGCTAAGAGAAAAAGAAGAAGAAGAAACTTTGATGAAAGTAATTAAGATGAGTTTTATCGAAATCGTTAGACCTTAGATCAGAAACATTCTAAAGAGGTCTAACTTCAGGAGAAAGAAAAGATGGCCAACTAAAAAATAAATGAAGTCTGTATCTGCTAGGCCCAGTGCTGATATCAAGAACGAAAACTGTTCTCAACAATGTAGCAAATGCGATCACAGGCGGATCTACGGGGGGAGGGCTTTCGGGCTGAAGCCCCTCCCCAAAATGGTAAAATGTAACCATGTTTTACAGAAAAAAATATTAAAAACTATCTCTTAAAGTATTCTTATTCGTGTAATTATAATTAATAGGACTTCAAGAACCACTTAAACACTATTTCATATAGGTAATTAATTTCTTAATTTTTTTTCAAATTAATTATCGTTATGTGTATATGAAAAAAAAAATCTTTCGGGCTGAAGCCCCCCCCCCAAAATTAAATCCTGGATCCGCTAGTGAATGCGATTGATATAAGATGGTTTTACTTATGTGAAGTACTACAAGATCAATTTAAACTTATGATCTAACTATTATTCGTTTTGTCAGTAAATGTCCGGAGTACAGACCCGTTTTTATGAAATTATTAACATTCGCCTAAAATTTCGTGAATGGCTTCATCTCATCATAACCTGTACAAATTTTTATCTACGAAAATTCTCAGAAATGGGGCGTTTTCTTATCAATTTAACGAGGGACTAAAACTCATTAATAGCCAATTGCTTTTCACTTTAATCCCAAGATAATTTGATCACAAATTCGAAAAAAAGTGAGCTTACAAAAATATTAGGTCGCTTGGCCTAAATAACCTCGTTGTTTTGATGTTCTAGCCTTCTTTTTTTTTTTCATTTCACCAACCAAGTTCCTTGCGCCTTCTGGGGCATTGTTCCTCTAATTTCGTCTTAAATCGGCCAAATTTTGAGGGTCTCAAGGGTGGTCACTTCTGAATGGCTAAGCGATAATAACCTCGACCTCTTCTTACTGGAGGTAATTTTGCAAGATTGGAGCAACATTTTTTAGTTTCACAAGAGTAATAAAGCAACTGTTGCTACCAAAAACATTTGCGATTTTTATCTAAATGCATTACATGTTCGTAAATCCCAAAGGTGGATTTGCAAGTTCAAATCTGGTGATTAGGATCTTTCCGACTCGTATTGATCAGGAAGACCAACAACGTTAGACAATGACGTTTTGAGGACAGAAGTCGAAACAATTCCGTATCAGACAATCGATTGATTACTGAAGATGAAAAATGGGTCTGGTATGATAATCCAAAACGCGAAGGGCAGTTGCTCTCTCCAAAAGAATCGCCACGAATACTGCTAAGCCAGGTTTATACCTCAAAAAGATAATTTTTTATGTTTGGCGGAATATTCGCGGCGTTGTTCATTTTGAAGTGCTGAAACCTGGATAAACTTTGAATGCAGACTTTCATTGTGAACAACTGGATCGTGTAAATCAATCTTTAAAAGAGGCCAACGATTGTCAACAGGAAAGGCGTTATTCTGCAACGCGAAAATGTTAGATCGCACTACGTAAAGGGCCCCTTACACATTCAATATTATTGAAGGGGTACCTCACACGGGTCAATTATATTGAGTCAATATTAAATCAGTTAAGATCTTGCTTCCACTAAACAAGGTTTCCAAAGAGGTAATCTTTCTATTTTTTGTGAAAATTAATTATGAAGTTTATATTACTTTAATTGTCTTAGCTTTAGCAACAAAAATGTTCTTTGTAATTTATATTATATTTGTATTCTTTGTATTTTATTCTAAGAGATTAAAACGTTTCTTGTTTCAAATTGGTTCTGTTCTTGTTTCCCAATTATTTAATATTTAAATTTTGTATAAAAATCACGTTTTGAATAAAAAACGAACTTCCAAATAGTTAAATTGCACAAAATAATGACATTACAAAAATAATTTAAGAGGTGTTCTTCCTTTCCTTCCCCCAATAAAGTAACCCTGACCTACCCAAACATATTGCCATTATAGTTTTTAAAAAACATTTCGCATGAGGGGAGAAGCCTCCCAAGAAAATTATCACCCACCTACCCAAACATATAACTAATTGATTTTGAAAACCCAACCATACTAGCCACAGTTCCCAATCACCAAAAAGGACCACTTTCAGAATCTATATTCATTAATTTGGAAAAAAATAATCCAGTAAACCTTAAAGTAGATAAAGAAAAGATCTGCAACACATATTGGAATATTTAGGGCCTCCTAAAACAATAGCCTATGTAATCCTTAATTTAATACAAACTTATAATATGATAAATATTGTTATTCTTAAAATATTGTAT